TCTTATTTCTCATTTGTATTATTATTTTTGAAAAAAAATCTCCATATAGGTAACTCTTGCGTGTTTGGTTGACATGTTTTTTGAAGAGCGTGAGATTTAGTAACACATTTTATTTGTAAAACATCTACATGTGTTTCTTTTAATAAATATGGAATAACTATTTGGAATAGCGTGACCATCCACCAACAACATTATTAGGGAGCTGGAGCATTGGGCAGTGGTGTCGCATTGCTAGCGCTGTATCTACGGGGAGCTGGCGTTAGCTTGTGGTGGGTATAGATAGACATAATACCTAGCTAACTGACTATGTTCTCAGTGCGTGAATACAGTGGCCTCGTAACTCGAAAATCTTCGGTGAACTTATTCTACACGCAGAGCTTTTCAGGTATTAGGCTAATATGCGAAACGTGCATTCATATTTGTGTGTGTGTGCGTGCGTGCGTGCGTGCGTGCGTGTGTGGTTGGTTATGTAAGTGATTTGTGAAAAAAAATTATTACATAACTTGATGCAATAAAAAAGCGTTAGTTTCAGTATTATTCGAATTGGTTATTATTGTTGGATTGCTTGGAGGTAAGGTGCTTGTATGGTTTCGTAGCGCTTCAATGTATGGGTTAACTCTCGTCTGATGGGGTTCCTATGGTGGGTGACCTTGCTGACCCTTACCGTGCCTGTGTGTCTGGCTGGCTCTAATCAATCAAAGAGCAACGTGCAGCAATCAAGATCTAAGGCTTATATATATATATATATAGAGAGAGAGAGAGAGAGAGAGAGAGAGAGAGAGAGAGCGAGCGAACGAGAGAGAGGAGAGGTATTACGTTTGCTGTATAGCAAATCCCTCGACTAACGTCTGAAACGCGCACATTTGGACCTAATAGGAACAAACGGCATACATAACCTAAAACTAAATGACCTGCATATATCTAAATTATACAGCATGTGCCACTTTCAAAAGATCTCTTTAACTTTAACTGCTTCGTTTCTGTCATTCCATAATGGAATTCTCGTCTTTGCTCTGGTTAATTGCAAACTTGAAGCTTTTTCTATTGCGAGCCGCAGTGTTGATCTGTCTATTTGATCAACTTTAATTTGTCTCTCTCCATCTTCGATATAGTTCCTTGGACTTACAAATTGTCACCTTAGCTTAATATTATCCTGCATACAGCTCTTTTTTGAAACGGTATATAAGAATTACTCCCTTTTTATTACTCGGGTCATATCTTCAAGAATCTTGTAAATCTTTCCGATTAAGGAAATTTGACAAAGCCCTACATTTTTAATTTATGACATGATATCATCATGATATCGTATGTCTTGTTCTCCAGATTCCGTGTATAGAAGAGGAGTATAACAATTAAGTTATTGTCATATTCACTAATGCGATTGCAAATGTGATGGAAATGCCCGTGCCTTGTTGATAACCTGCATGATCATAAGCATTTGATATTTTGTTCATACCCATTTCGCGGTGTAACCTGCGTGTATTAGTAACTCTCTCTCTCTAGCGTGTGTTCGATTTTGTCGGCAGCACAATGTGAAAGGTAAAAACAACATGGTGGAATTGTTTCCATTCGTTCGGGTGATATCGATGAAGTGTGAGATTTGGTACAAGATTCCAAAGAATGCAACCTCGCTGGATAGAGCGACACTCAGTCTCAACATGTGCAAGAACTGCACACAGGTAAACCATGCCATTTTTTGTTGCCATGATAGGATTCTAATGTAATAGTTATGACAGGATTATGGAGTATATTAAAAGTAGCCATATAAATGTAGATAACCCTAAAATAACCCTGTCATAATTAATATAACAAAATTAACCCTTTCACTTAATCTAATAATGTGCAGTTTCTTTCTTGAAAACTGTAAAAACAACAATCCCTCGCAACTACGAGATTAGGTATCCACCTAGGCAACTGCTCATCCATCAGTCCTGTTATATTTATAAATCTAATAATAAGTATAATTGTTATAATAATAGCGAAAAACAACTGCAAAACTCATATTCAAAGACATTGACTGACCCCAACAGACTTTGACTGCCGCACGTACATTGCAGCTCTACTACTCCCCCAACGCGAAGCAGAAGAGGGGCGCCGGTCTAGCCGAGCCGCGGCGTGCGCGGGTGCGGACGAGCCGACCCCGGGACGACGTCTCGGTCACGCGCAACGAGCTCACGGTGAGATGCGACGCCCTCTTGCGGCAGCTGCGCGCTGAGCAGCTCAAGTTTGCGACGATCAGCAAGCTGCTGAACAGCGGCGGGCTAGAGGGCAGCACCGTAGTGTTCTTCAACGACGACGGCGACGTCGCCGAGACGATCGTGCTCGACGAGGGCGCCACCGCAGAGAATTTTGACGGTGACGGTGGCGCCCTTGCTGAGAGTGGCGCCTTCGCTGACGGTGATGCCCTCGTCAATGGCGGAGCTCTCAGTGACGGTGGCGCCCTCGTCGATGATGGCATCATCGGTGGCACCCACGAGTTTTTGGAGGATGAGCGGAAGAACGAGGAGGAAGGAGCGATAGAGGAGCCCTGCTATAACGCCTACGACAACGAGGCTGTGGTAGGGGGGCGCCGGCGGCAAGGAAAAAGCGCAGGAGCATGTCGAGGGTAACAACAGGTATTTGGGCGTGGTCGTGAGTGACAACGGGGTTGTGCCATCTGTGGGGCAGGTGGCGACGCATGGTGAGGATGTAGACGTGCTGGGTCAACTCTGTGAAGAGGTCATCGGAAACGACGAGCAGGCAATGGATGTCCAACAGGAAGTCGAGTTTCAGAGTGCCGCCTAGTGGGAGTCGGCATAGGTCTTTTTGTACTTCGTTTTTTTTAAATTGTGCCATTTGAAGAATTCGATTTTGAAGAATAGATTATTGTATAGTTAT